ATTTTCGAAAGTTTAATTTTTATTAATATATTGTATATAATGGTATTATAATATTATAAATTTTTTTAATATTACCAATTGTTTGAATTTTATTACAAACATTGTTAAGGGAATTGCAGTACTACTTTTTGTAAGATTAAAAATTTACTTTCTTTTCTTTTTTGAAAATTTAATGTATTTTAATGTATTTTACATTTAATTTCGAATGTAATTATTTTAATACAATTTTAAGATTTTTTCAGTTTTTTATTAGTATAATAGTTATTTTTTCTGAAAATTTTTATTGACTTATATATATCTGAAGAGAATATTTATAGTTTGATCTGTTTGTTTTTTTATTGTTTTAGGAGGAATTCTTTGAGTCTATTATTTATTTAAAAATTTCTAATATTAATTTTGCAAATTGCAACAGTTTTGCAATTCGAATAAAAATAATATAGTTAAAAATAAAGAAGTTTAGAAATAAATTTAATGATTTCAATTTTCATTTCTTGATTTAGGTTTTGTCTATCTATTAGATAATTGTGAATCATCCCTTTTCATGTTGCTTTATAATTTTAATCATTGCTTTTATGTTTTTTTTTCCCCAATTGATTACAAGTTTCTTTACTTTTTCTTAATTTTCAATTATTTTTTTCGTTTCTGTATCCGAATTAAAAATTTGAAACTCACTTTTATTATTGGGATTGATTTTTTCTTGTTTTCTGATAGTTGCTTAATTATTTTAATTATTTTAATTAGTTAACCATTATTTTGCATTTCTAATACACAAAATATAGATTTAATATTAATAATAAGCCCAGAAAATATTGAAACGTTAAACAGATTTCATCAATATTAATTCAAAATATTATTTATTATTTTAAATGTTATCTCTTGTTATTTTTTTTACATTCAATTGATATATTTATTTGAAGCATTCGAAACGAAAATAATAATGAATGAATTTTATATAGATACTCCAGATAAATTTATTAAAAAAAAAAAAAAGTATTTGTTATCACTCTCAAATAAAATTTTTTTTATTATTAAATTTAATTTGCTTTCAATTAATTGAAAAATGTATAAAATATGTTTTATAGTAAATTTATATTCTTTATTATATCCTTGTATTCAGTACTTTCTTAATTTATTTTGTTTTTTATTTACTTATTTATGTATTTCAAATATATTTATCAGGCATAGACTATGTTAAATAGTCCAAAAATATCATTCATTTTATTTTGTTAATGTTATTTCATATAAAGAATAAAACACTTTTTCTTAATTAAATAGATCATATATAATATAATAAATAAATATTTTATTTCGATATTTTTTTGAAATTCGAATCATTGACTTTTATTACTTAATAGATATATTAAAATGGAATACAATACAAAATTTGATCAATAAATTTTTCAAGATATTATAAGATATAACAAATTACTTAACAATTAAAATTGATTTCAAGTTTTGTTAATGATTTATAATAATATGAAATATTTATAATAATTTAAATTATAATTTCAAATATTAAAAAGGATATAATAAAGCGGATATAATAAAAGGATATAATAAATTCATTACATTAAAATCATTTTTTTAGAAATTTTGAAAATTCTAAAGAAACAAACAAAAAACATAATCATAAAAAAAATGAAGATTATTTCAAAATATAAAAATTGTATGATTTCTTTATAGATGTTATAAATTGTTAGTTTAATTTCATATATATTAAATTAATTTCTATAGTTTATATAAGAAAAAGAAGTGGATTTATTAATAAACTAATTCCCAAAAATGTTTTAAAAAATCATATATATTGTAAGTATTTGTTTTCTAAAACAAAATAAATAGTTATCTATCATAATATATTTATCGTAGATCTCTAAAATTTTTCTTAATCTATATAAAAATTTGAATTATAAATTCTAGTAATATAATTTAAAAAATTATGAAAAATATAAAAAATAAAGATTTTATAAAAAATTATATTATTTACATAAAAATGTTTGGATTTTACAAATTTTGAAAAAAATTCATTTCTTATGCTTTGAAGATACTGAAAAGCTAATTGTAATTAGTCAATCATGCAAATTTAGAATCATAAATCACTTTCAAAATTTAACAATAAAGAGTATGCTATAGATTTTAAATTTGATGGAAAAGTCACGCTGACAATCCTTCAGTTGGACCCAACTTTTATAATCAAGAAAATTTCGAAAATCATTTTTTACGCACATTCTACTTTTTTTTCATTTGATAAATCAGCATAAAAAAATGCAAATGTTTGATAAAAACTTTTAAAAGCGCGAACATTTCCCTTTTTGAATAGAGTCGAAAAATACAAGTTCAGGCAAACATAGTTCAGAGTTTAAATAGTATAACATAGAGTTAAAAGATACTGAAAAGAGAGAGAGTACAAACACAACATAGAAGACACAGATACACAATCTCTCTGAATTATAAACGAACACAATTAGCAGACATAATGCACTTATTCATGATAATCATAAATATCACATCACACATATCGTAATTCATGATTAAAATTATTAAAGCATAGTATTTTTATATCACAACCTCATTTTCAATATAATATAATAATAGAGTCAATGAGCATTCTAAATTAAACGATTGTCATTCTCTAAAATACAATACATGTTTATTGTTAAAGATTCTCATTTATCGTTTATAAACACAATATCAAATCGACATCGATATTTTCACATCTATCGATTCAATTAACATGAAAATAATATGACACTATGTTCTATAATTTTTAATTGTTTATATATTTATACATCTTTTTTAATAAGATAAAATGAATGAATATTTGTCATTATATAAGTAGCAGACAATTATCTTTTGAACATTTAAATTATTAGTATTATGGGATCGTAATAAAATAAATATATAAAAAAAATAAATTAATCAGTTTATTATATATTATATAGTTTTACTTTTGATCGAGTTTTCATTTCGTTTTTTAATATGAAAACATTTTCAATTTTCGAGAAAATTTAATTGTAATGTATTGAAGTAGATATTTTATTTTTTAAAATAAGTTTAAATAGATTATTAGATAATATTTTTTACGAATTTATAATATTTTAAAGATTGATAATTTTTTAGTTAAAATTTAAAAAAGACTTTTTTTATTTTGTAATATATAATCATGTACATTTAAAGTTTGGAGAATTTTCTTAAAAATATTTTTAGAATACTATTCGATTTCAAAAAAAATTTTCAATTTAAATTTGACATTCTTCGAATTGTTATGTGTTCTTTAATATGTGTTAATTTTTACAT